CCCCCCCCCCTTTATGAATAATAAAGAAGTCAATATATCATTGTTAAACAGAATTACTAATTCTTTTCGTGGACAGCGATCAAGAGAATAAATATGCGTGTCGTGTCTTTACTTCCCAGAATGCAACGGTCGCTTTACTGACATGCTGATACTGTGGGACGGAAGTTTGATCTCCGACTTTCAACACTTCAAGCAAGCAATCAACTTCTCCAGCGACTTAGTCAACATGTTTGACGTGGGCGGGGACAAGCACCGAGTGGGCGTGGCTTGGTATGATAAGACAGCCCACGACTTGCTGTCACTCAAGGATAGCTCCAGTGTTCCTCAGGTTGGGTATATAAAACGTCGCTACCTCAAAATTGCAAAGTTCTATCTGCTCAATACCTAGTTTTGAAAAAATTGACTTCATATTTTTTTAGTTTCACAATTATCAAGCTTTTTCGAATGCAATTCTCTGAAAATTGTGGAAATGGTATGGGTTTAACGCCCCTATCAACACTTTTAGGTTATTTAAGAGGCGTTTAACGTCCATCTCCGAAAGGACTGAGCCAAGTGTGAAATTCGTGTAAAGTGCCTTTCCCAAGGACACAGCGTCGGACCGAGCTGTGGCTCGAACCCCCGAACCCCCAATCTCACTCATTACGAGTCCGATAGCCTAACCACTAGGCTACTGACGCCACTGCAATTCTCTGAATATCTTGATAACAATTCCGAGTATTCTTACGATTTTGATAGAGCAGATAGAGCATTAATTTATTGCATTCTGACCTCATGGTCTTAGCAATTCAAAACGGCCAAATATGTTAGATAGAACTTTGTAATTCTGTGGTAGCGAAGTCGTGCGTTGTGCAAATTGAATAGACGTGTTTGCTTGTTTGTTTTTGTGGAGAAGTTGAGATTTTGCTTGAGTGGTATTGCAGGAAGATGGAGGACGCCACTGGTATGTCCCACTTTTAAAATATGTTTTTCCTCTTCATAGATATTTGTCGCTTTTAAGCACAAGGAGGCTATCCCGAAAAACGCTGTTTTGAGAAAATTGAAGATAAAGTTTTTGCCCCTTGCTCAAGTTCTGGCCTGATGCGGGGGAAGGCCATAGTCAAATGACGTCATTTTTTAAGTCTCAGATCAAAATTGGGCTTTTAACGGATTCGAGTACTTTGAAATGTTTACTTTCCCGAAATGAAAATCTTATGTTCCTATCAATAGCAGAACATGTTCAAAAACACTCTCAAAGATGACACCCCCTTTCCTCTAAGTGAAAAAACCCCGCAATATTTTGCCCTAAAATGTCCTTTTTATGAAATGGGCAGAAAGCTCTCAACACGCTCAGAAATCTGTCATGTTATTCATCATTTTGAAGATTATGATCTCTAATTTCTCGAAATGGCGATTCAAAAGCAGTTCAGACTTGATCATTGATGTAAATAAGTTACATTTAATATGTCTGTTTCCATTATTATTTAGCTGAGAATGATGTGTCGTCATGCTATATGCAACTAGATTACTGCGCACGTGCATGTGCAGTTTAAAACATGTATAACTAAGCTCAAATTCAAATTTAATCAACATTTTGTGAATGAACTCCCCTTACAGTGCATGAGCACTTGAACATGCTAGAACTGGTCAAATACCGAAGATTTCGGCCAAAGCCCACTCTCACGACGTCGAAATGGGGATCGACCCCCTGCGTCATACGGCCCTCAACGAGAGCTCGGTAAGAGCTTCCGAATTTCCGCATAAATCTGGAAATCCAATTCCTGAAAAAGCCAGAATTTTGCCCAACTGGCTGGTCGTTGAGAATCTGTTGCACATTTTAAAACACAACAGTCTTGACAAGAGAGATATGAGAAAACTGTTTCGTAAATTTTAAGCCCTAGTGCACTTGATTTCCCGGAGTCGGAAGAGTTCAGGACTTTTTTTTGGGTGGTCTGGGGTGGAATAAACAGAACCACCCTCGTGAGAATCACCGGATGGCTTGGTTGAGTGGACTGCTTCATATCGCGTTAGAGTTGGAGCGTCATGTCTTGCCCTTATTTTCGTCATTGTGTCATACAAGTAGTCATCCCCATGCTAAACAAGGCATTTTTTCATGGAGCCAATGCCATTAGAGCATTCTTGAACAACCAAATCAAGTCAACGTTCGAGTGGTTACCAGTAAACAGCCCCGATATGAATCCTACAGGTTTGTGAAGTCCCATGAAGTAGCAGCTGAAGAAAAACGACTTTGCCCCCCCCCCCCCAATTCAGACCCGTTGTTTGCAACTCTCTGTGACATTCAATATGTCCAAAATTTAATAGAATCGATGCCCAAAGGTTTTGTGCTCAACAAAAAGCCAATGGTTCCTAAGCAAATTAACAATGAACACAATTAGTGTTGAGTCCATGTTTTGTGTGGTATTTGTGATTGCTTTGTTTTCCGTTAGGTTTGAAACTATCGTGACACAATATCGTAATAAAATATTGTTTATTGCAAAGACAAAAGTCTCCATTCACTGGGCATGCAACATATCGCCATTCGATCAATATTGATACTCTTCAGTAAATGCACAAAGACAATTTTACGTTCCTTTGATTTCGCACAATTTTGCCAAGCCTGATTTTTTAAGGTCAATTTTGAGTGACCATATCTCGGGTGTCTCTTAAAATAGATTAAATACTAATGTGTCAAATGATGAAAAATTTATTTAGCTTTAAATTGGTATGCTGCATGAGTGGGTAATGCAAGGCTTTAACACGATGACTGGGTGATTACATTTTCAAATTTCTTTTGGACGCAACTTACAGTAAGTTTTGCACGTCAAAACTTTAAGGGCTTTTTTTCTCAAAATGGGCTCTTTCAAGGGGGGGGGGGGGGAGGGGTGGGAACGCAAAAAATCTATCGTTCGAAAAGTGGTTAAGATATCTTCATAATTTTTGGTATACTGATAGATGAAACATTATTCTAGTGTAAAAAGGAGTGACGTTTAAAGAAATCTTGAATAAATGATTTTATTATAAGTTTAATCCGTTGTTATGATCTGATATTTTTGTGGTCAATATATTTCCTTAGTTTGGACCTCGATTCTGAAAAAAAGTTTTTCTTCCTACATCAAAATACCAAGTTCATCTACTAAAACAGCAACAGAATATTTTAAAATCATTTATAATCTTACGATAGATTTTTTAGAATTGTGTATATTTTCTATAAATGACATTCCAATATGGCAGCCGTTACCATGGCAACACAAAAGAGTTTTCAAAATTTTACTTCATAACCTAATTCTCCACTCTATTTATATTGATGCTACCACATTTGTAAGCTTGGTTTCTTCTTCTTAACGAATTTCAAAATTTCCCCCGCATCATGCCTTAAAAGACAATGAGAGTTTTCTCTAAAACCAATTAATAAATATACACACCAAAGAAACCAAACTTCTCTTATAGGTAGGGCAATGCCTACTTTTGGTATAGGTCAAGATTTCTGGAAAACCCCGAAATCTGGGTTAGCCCGCTTTTCCTTAAAAACAAACATTGATTATTATTTATTTATTTATTTATTCATTTATTCATTATGTATGTATTTATATATTTATTCAGTAATTCATGTATTTGTTTTTATTTTTGTTTATTTATCTATTTATTTTTTTATTTATTTATTCATTCATTCAATTTCATTTCACAGCTTCTGTCCAAGCTGCGACAGCTGTCCCCTGTGACTTCCCTGACACCGGCCCAGACTGACCTCTCCGCTGCCCTCAAGTGGGTGCGTCAGACTGGACTGTCTGTCCAACATGGCGGCCGTGACGTCACCAGCAAGACGCTTGTGCTGGTTACCAAGGGCGACCCGGGGGGTTCGGCTGCTGTGACACAGGAGGTGAGGAGATAATAAAAATATAGTGAGGGAAGGGTGGTTGGGGGTGGGAATGGGAGAGGGGGAAGGGAGGTGGACACACACACACACACACACATGCACACACACACACACACACACACACACACACTCACTCACTCACTCACTCACTCTCTCTCACAGAGAGAGAGAAAGAGAGAGAGAGAAAGGGAGAGAGAGAGAGAGATAGAGAGAGGGAGGTGGTGGTGGGGTGAAAGAGAGAAAAAGTAATGATAAATATCAACAAATAGATAGATAGATAGATAGATAGATAGATAGATAAACAGATAGATAGATAGATGAATAGATAGATAGAGGTATAGATAGATAGATCCATAGATAGATAGATAGAAAGATAGATAGATAGATAAACGTATAAATAAATAGATAAATAGATAAATAGATAGACGTATAAACAGATAGATAGATAGATAGACGTATAAATAGATAGATAAATAGATAGACGTATAAATAGAAAGATAGATAGAGAGAAAGACAAACGTATAAATAGATAGATAGATAGATAGATAGATAGATAGATAGATAGATAGATAGATAGACGTATAAATAGATAGATAGATAAACACCACTTAAGTCATTCACTCAGTTCCCTTGCTCACTTTTCCCAGGCTGCACTTCTCCACACCGCGGGTGTGAGGGTGATTGTCCTTGCCGTGGGCAGCACGTTTGATGACCCGACCTTGACCTCTTTAGCCTCGACGCCCATGCGCGTACACAAGTCAGCTGACCTGGCCAACCAATCAACGGACGCAGTCGCAAAGACGGCTTGTACAGGTCATTTTTTTTGGTAGAGATTTTACGGCGTTCGCAACTGCATACGGTCATATAAGCGCCAGAAGATTAGAGGTGTTACAAGAGAGTAACAAACATAATAAAAAAGAAGGTCCTCGTCTTTCATCCTTTTTGTTTTCTCTGTTTGCTACTCTTTTGCAATACCTCTAATCTTCGACATTTATATATGATTTATTATTGTGCTACGAGCGCTGTAAAACTCTAAAAACAAAACAAAATCAAATTATTCACACTCAACGGAGTGTTAATCATTTGTAATTTTCTATAAGGTTATAGGCCTACATTAATTTCTAGTTCAAATCCATATAAGCCCACGTCTTGAAAATTTGAACTGTTCCTAATTGAATTTAAGTTCTTCGTTCTGCTATGAGAAGTATTTTTTCGGGTTTGCAGTAAGCAAACTGCGAGTTTTCTTTTTTTCAAGGGATTTAGCACTATTGTTCACTTAACTTTAATTTGTTCCTAAAGAAAACAAATCTTTGAAACCCCATTTCTCTAAACTACACTTTTGGACCCCTGTGCACTTTATATATAATGCCATAACTTTTCACATAAAGCTCCAATTGTACTC